CGGGGTGCGGAGCCGGAGCCGGAGCTGGAGCCGGAGCCGGCATATTTTGCCCGGAACCGGAGCCGAAGCCGTGAAACAATATAACCCGCAGACGGAGCCGGAGCCGGAGCTGTAAAAAATTTACCCGGTATTTTACCCGGAGCCGGAGCTACCGTTTTAACCGTTTTACTGCCTGGAACTTTACTTACACCCGTTTTACTGCCTGGAACTGCAAGTTCAAGGCAGTTCGGTTTGACGAACCGAACTATAATCAATCAAACGGTCAAAAAATTTTCCTCTTCAAAAAAAAGGAGCCGGAGTCGCCCCCTGTTTTGACAGCTCCGGCTCCGGCTCTGGCTCCGGGCTATATTGTTTCACGGCTTCGGTTCCGGCTCCGAGCAAAATATGCCGGCTCCGGCTCCAGCTCTGGCTCCGGCTCTGCACTCCGGCCCTGCCTCAAACTGAAAGTCTGGATCCACCCTGGTGCCCTAGCTAATCGCTAAATATTTAGCGAAATAGAATCAGCGCACACAGATGTCGCGGTTTACCTACATGTATAGGCATAGATGTCGCAGCTATAGGCAGTGACACATGCAGTGCAATTGGTAGCGGACAGCAGTAGTTTCTCCTACCAAAGTGGTGGTTTTCTACCGCAGATGCTCGTCGAGGTCGGAATTTCCAAATACGCTCTTTTTATCCCACGCTTATCCCTCGCCGGCCGAGGGGGGGGGCGGGTGCCGCCCCCCATAGGGTTTTTCGCGATAGCTCCGAACACGCTGGCGATAGAGAGCTGAAACTTGGCATACCTGACTTTGATTCAAGCCGGATCTTTTGACACCAACCGCATTTTCGGGTCAGGTCAGGTCACTGACCTATGACGTCATAAGTGAACCTCTGCACGGTCTTCAGATGTCGCAACTTCGCAACGCCCTCACTGCCAGAGGTGATGTCACAGGGACATGAAACTTGCAGGATCTAGTATCCATTATGAGTCTCACAACTTGTATATCTCGGATTTTTCCTAAAAGTCATATGAGGTCAGGTCATTTTCGTGACCTCACCATTATAAGGATCAATGGGGAAAAATGAAAACTGCTATTCTGGCGCCGGGAACGATCTCCAACTATCTCAAGCATACAGAATCGTGATTTGATGCACTCCTTGCAAGGTTAGATGCGTCACTTTTGCAATGTTGAACTTGCGTGACGTCATTTATGACGTCATCAAGGTCATATTAGTTTTTCGTCAAAATAACTCTTGATCAAATTGAGCTAGCGAGTCGGGAAAGCCACCAATGGACTCAGGAAGACCTGCCGAATCGAATGATATGCGACATGACCTCTTTCGACCAGCTTCGTGACCTGGGGGTGCTGACCTGACCTTGACCTGACCCAGCAAACATGCCCACATGGGTCCCATATGGGGTGAACATGGGCCAGATGGGCCCACATGGGACATGGGCTACAGATGGGCTACCCATATGGGCCCCATATGGGATATAAATGGGCCAGGTGGGCCAAACGCATGTGGGCTGGAGATGGGCATCCCATGTGGGTCCCATATGGATCACCCATGTGGGCCCCATTTAAGTTACTCCAAGTGCATAAAAGCAAAAAAGGTGGCTGTTGTTCATGTGTATTTTGGACTCCAAGTATATCAAATTCATACATGATGCCATATGGGGTCAATGTAGGCTGGCCCATATGGGTCCCATGTGGGCGCCGCGTGGGTCCCATATGGGGCCTACGTGGGCTGGCCCATGTGGTTCCCACGTGTTACCCACTGGTATTCCCATGTGGGGCTCATATGGAAGAGGTGGGGGGGGCATGTGGGCCCCATATGGGAACCATGTGGGCATGTTTGCTGGGATATGAACATTTCCTTTACTACAAAATTTTGGTAGCTGGCCCGACACCTATCTGGGCTGGATGCGGGCAGCATGTGGGCAGACTGGGCACCAGAAAGCTGGGCACACCCATCCGGGGCCCACATGGGGCCCAAATGGGCAAACTTTACTACAAAACTTTGTTAACTGACCCGACACCTATCTGGGCTGGATGCGGGCAGCATGTGGGCAGACTGGGCACCAGCAAGCTGGGCACATCCTTCCGGGGCCCACATGGGGCCCAAATGGGCAAACGCCCAGCCAGCATGCCCATGTGGGCCCCACATGGGCAGTTGATGGGCATGGTGGGCTAGGTGGGCCATGGGCTAGAGATGGGCTGCATGTGGGCCCCACATGGGCTGCCCACATTTTTTGGCAGGCATAATGATTGATAATGAGATTGCCTGCACCATGTACGAGGGCATATCCAGGAATTTTGGTGAACAAAGGCATTCACGCGGTGTTCCTGTATGGTGGGCTTAACATGGGCACTGCGTGGGCAGCCCATGTAGTGGGGTGTAGGTGGGCTGGATGTGGGCAACCCATTATTTATTTTTTCATTGTCCAATGTGTATGATATTACAAGAAACAAGAACTCGCTGTTTAGTCTCATGCCTCCAAAATACACTTCGACGACGTGAGGAAGTCGCATAGTTGATGTTTGTGAGACCAGCTACGGCTGATATTGGATAGTCAATGTTGTGATTGTGTCGTATCATTGTGTCGCCTGAGCCCGCCCCTGCGCGGGCGACCCGCCGGCGGAGCTCGGCCCACCGGACGGGGCCTGGGGCCGCCTCTGCACCGCCCGGGGTGGTGACCGGCCGACCGGCCGGTCGGCTGTCGGGGCTGCGGCGTCTGGGCGGGCCAGTTGGCGTTCAGACTCTGAGTGGTGTGCGTGTCCAATAAAGCCTTATTAAGCCACGGGAAGGTCGGCCTTGGGAAGACCAAGCTGTTCCGGGTGATCTTCCGTGAGTACCTTACAGTTTGGTGGTCACACCAATCTGTTCGACCATGGGAATGGGTCATTCAAATAAGTAATTTGTCAATTAGAAAAGCATAATAAAGGTTCCATGCGTGACATCAGTCACAAATGGTTTGACACCAGCGTTGATATTCGATTTAATGAGTAAACATCGCGCTCCTCGTTCCGCACCGTCTGTATCAAAACTAGCCAATGTCGGTCTCTGGTCCTCCGTTTGAAGTGGCTGCGAAAATTACGGGAAACATTTAATGTTTGTTTCGAATATTAGTTAAAGGGACAATGTCATGTTTAAATTTGATATTTCGTAGGCCCCACCTTTCTGTTCAAGGAGCTGAAGACCGATTCTCGAAGTTCGACACCGTTCTCCCGCTATCGCCCCTCAATGTACGAAATGTGTGCACGCTTTGAATCGCATCAATATCCTCAATGTTTCAATGTGTCGCATCAATAATCGCAATAATCGCAATAATCGCATAATCGCAAAAATCGCATCAATATCCTCAATGTTTCAATGTGTGCGCCGTTTCGAATTGGCCTCCAATAACAAAACTTTCCTGGATCTTTTCTTTAAACTTTATAAAGTCAACACGTTTTTCCCACATTATCCTCAACGTTCACTTCCATTAAATACTCGTAGGTATTTCCCAGGACTTTTCACTTCGCAAAAAAGTTAACAAGTTGATAGTGACGGTTCGTTCAAAAAGCTCTTGCAAAATGTTTCCCCGATTTTTGGTCCTCAAACTATCCATTTTTGATTCATGGAAATTCAGCAACGGTAGTAAAATAAGGAGGCTCCCTGGCTTCCATTTTTTTTTTTATAATGACTGTCCATTTAACGCTTATCAGATAATGTGCTTACATTGTGGCTTTCTTAGTGTGCCCTATTTATTTCACAGACGCTGTCAACCTGAACCCGACGGTGACCTGCCAAGAAAAGGATCTCGAAAAGGCCGTCGGCAAGTGGCTGACAAACTGCCGCGACCGTGACGGCCAGCGATCAGACCGGGGGCGAGGCCGTCCGCCCGCCCAGTGACTTGTGTCTCGATGAGCGCAGAAAGAAATACAGGACTGTGCCTGATGTATGTTGTTTTTATGGGAATAAAGTGCTGGAAGGAAGCATATTTCGTCTCGCATGACATCGCACATTGACGGACAGTGCGAGAGCACCGCTGAACGTCAGGCTGGGAGGGGCACTTTCAAATGGGAGCGTAACGCGGATTGGGTTTACATAGATTCAGGTGGGTGGCGTAAATGGGGCCGGGTGGCGCAGGCATTGTAGGACAGGGCGGGTGCTGAGTGGCGAGTGGGTCCCATGTGGGGCCAGTGTGGGGTAGCCCATGCGGGTGGCGAATGGGTCCCATGTGGGTGGCAAATGGGTCCCATGTGGGTGGCAAATGGGTCCCATGTGGACTCCCAGGTGGGTGGCAAATGGGTCCCATATGGGGTCAGTGTGGGCTGGCCCATATGGGTCCCATGTGGGCGCCGCATGGGTCCCATATGGGGCCTACGTGGGCTGGCCCATATGGGTCCCACGTGTCACCCACTGCCATTCCCATGTGGGGCCCACATGAGTGGCCCACGTGGGACCCATATGTAAGAGGTGGGGGGCCCATGTGGGCCCCATATGGGAACCATGTGGGCATGTTTGCTGGGGAGGTCAACACCCTAAGTTGACCTGACCCTGAAAAAGTATATCATTCGACGCGCCTGAGCGAGGCGAACACGATGCTGCCAAAATCGCGGCTCTGCGGCCGTTTTTTGCGAAGTTATTCATCAAAACTGAGCCGTACCCTGGGGCACTTGACCTGACCTCAGAGGTCACCGGCTGACCTAGGACCTTAAAATCGGTTACCAATCTCTGCGTCTCGTAACGGCGCACACGCTCGTTTTTCCGCGATGCGCTAGCTCCACCAGGGGCGAAACGGCGAGGGGGGTCGTACCCGCCCCCCCCCCCTTCGGCCGGCGCGTATGTAGAAAACCAATAGGTCCGGCGAGGGTTATACCAATTATGGAAGTTTTTTGTCGATTTTTTAGATTTCAAAAGCTAAGTATTCTTTATTATTTGTTTGAAAATACCAACCTTTTCAAAACAACAATGCAGTGTTTCCGAACATGAAGTACGAATTTATTTAACTCTTGATGCTCTTGTGTATTGATTTTGCTGAAAGCCTAGGGCGGTGGATGAATCAGAGTATCTGTCTGTATTGATCGCTGCGTGTGGTGTGGATCGGTGGAGACTAGTCGTTCACTATTTTATGCCGCGCGGTTATTAGATGTAGCTGCTTAGACTTCAATATCGCTGGAAATTAATTATCTACGTCGTTTTGTGTTTCGTGTCATCAAATGTCTGGGGACCAAAGGACTATGATCAAAGGTAGTCCCTCCCAATATGTGAAGCTCAATGTTGGAGGGACGTTATATTACGCAACCATAGCAACTCTTACAAAATATGATAACATGTTGAAGGCAATGTTTAGTGGAAGAATGGAGGTTCTTACAGATTCAGAAGGTTGGTATTTTCTTCGCTATCTATAGACATGTAGGTACGGCCCTTCAGCAAAAGAGTGGGTGGTTAGCCTATGTGCTTTTGGTGTAATAACTTTGAATGACAGAGACACACCTGTAATATGACTCAATAGAACTGAGAAGAGGGTTCGTGCACACACTTCGGCAATGGTTTTCAACAGCCATTAGATGTATTCGTCAATGTAGATCGATTAATGTGATGTCGGCAACCAACCATGTAATACCTGGAGGGCCGTACCTAGGTAGGTACCTACCTACATTGTCTTATTTCCCCTAAGTTGTAACATTCTAGACCTTTCATATGCCCCAGACTGCAGAACATGGCAATCTTGCAAAGTCTTGTAGGCATGGGATGCAGAGACATTTGGACAATGCAGTGGGGTTCCTACACAATTGGCTCTGTGGTGAATCTGCTCTGAGGACCAGTTCAGGCCTGAGCTGTGGTCAGGGAGCACATACCATTGAAAATTTTTGCACCACTTATGCACAGTTGGGGTCCATCGGTTGCCAAGCTCCGCCCTTCGGTGTTGGTGTATGATGTCACACATGTCACATGTGACGTAGGCTCGTGCAAACTCAAGTTTTGCACAAGGACAAAATAGCTGCAGGAGGCGAAAGTGGTGCAGATTTAAGTTAACCTTCCTGTATTGCTTATTGTAAGTGGTTAGTATGTTGTTTTTTGGGCATTATTCTCTTTCTTTTCAATGACACATTGCTATTAACCACATTTGAACACATTTTACTCAATTGTTGAACAAAAACCATCAGTTAATTCGCACCACGGTTCGCTGTGTGTCAAATAATGCTGACATGGCCCTCGGCTTTGCGGGCCGGCAGAGAGAGGGCGGAGCGAGGCGGCTGAAATCATCGCATGCAATGACTTCACACTGCAAAATAGTTTGCTGGGACACCAACGTGGCTGGCAGAATATTCTGCTGGGTGTGATGACATCACACGTCTGGTGAGCTTTTTTTATAAATTTAGTCCGAACCTTTTGATAAGAAGGATTCACAAGGAAAGAGCCACCGCTAAGCGAAGCTTGTTGCGGTGACCCTGCCCACTACCTACCCTCGATCGTGCAATTCCAGTTCTATGGCAGAATTTAGAGTCCAAAGTTTAACGTGCGCACATAGCCGCCCACGGCCGGTCCCCTCACTGACTTCGCCTGGCTACGGCCTGCCACCAACCACAACCATACCTGTCAGGAGGCCCATAGTTGTCAAGCGCCTGTCGCGCTTCGAAGTTCGAAAGGAACAAGTGCTCTCACCACGCGGAGTCCAATGGTCTACCAACTGAGCTACGGGACCGCAAGAAAGAAATGACCTTGCAGACTTTTGATGCAAAATATTTTGTGAAACATGGCCAGCAATATGTGGTAATCGCCTACCATCAATGCCAAACGATTTCATACAAAAGAATAGAAAACAACATATTACTGTGTTTCTTACATATTCTGTAGGGTAGTTACTCACCAATTCATGCTATTACAGCTTCCACATCCATGTAAGAAAGAAATGCACCACAATTCAATCTCTCATTGAGAAGCAAAACAATTTAGGCATCATTTAGTAGCTTAAGACAATTGGCATCATGAAAATCTGTCATGCTATTCTGCCGTGACATCATGTTGGAAGCTTGGCCCCTTGCTCCGCCCCTGATGCCTACTGCGCATGCGTCATGGAATGATATTTCAAAATATCTTGCGCTGGCCGCTGAAACAGCAGCACCAAATTTATTTTGCCCCCCCCCCTTAACCCAAAATGTCTGACGACGCCTATGAGTTGGGCACAGGATTAACCCGGCAGGCGGTGGGCCTCCCGGCCACCTTCCGCGCGGTGGGGGGGGGGGCATTTTTTGCCCCCCCCCCCCCGTATCTCCGAAACTACTGGACGGATCCGTAAAATTTAAACGGTGTTCGATAGCCCTGTCAAATTTGTCGATGGAAACCAAATTTCATTGACCTTGGGGTCACTGATGACGTCACAGGTCAGGTCAAAGATAAAATGTTTCACCGTTCACGGGTCTTCTAGGTAATACGCTATAACACCGAGGAAAACGCATTTTGTCGAAAATCAGCGATAGGGCGTCAGTTGCCTAGCACATATGTTGCTATTAGAGGTCACTGACAATACCAGGTCACCAAGGGTCAGCACATGAACCCAACCTTACTGAGGTTATGCGATGCATGTTTTATGGCCAATTTTTCATTTCCAACTTAATGATGTTGGTTTTAAGACCATCAGGTACGGTTTAGGTCACCTTCTGGATGGAGGTCAGGCCAAGGTCAGGTAAAAAAGGTCCAATTTCAAAGTTGATATTTATGCATAAAATGGGCATTGATTTGATGCAGCTCGTCACGGGGAGTCTAATGGTGGTCGTTGTTTTGCGCTACGTGGTCTAGAATTGCTAAAAATTGAGTTTGAAAATTTGACGTCATCAATTTGAACAGTTTAAAAAAAGACGTATCGATCTCAAATTTGGTATGTGGATAAAAGGCGGTAAGGACTATCACATATTCCGTATTTTTTCGAAATTCGTTTTTTTGTGGATTTTTCAGCTAGGTATTAAATTCAAAAAATCTATTTATTTGATTTTTGTGGGTCAAAATCCAAAATGTAAAAATCCGAGATGGCAGTTTTGTAGCCCTATTAATTTTGCACTGTTTATGTCTGAAACATTTTTCTGTATCTCCAAAGCTGTAGGCTAATGACGTCACTCCGACGTCATTAGCGGCCAACCTATCATAGCCTTTGGATTTTTTGTCACAATCTGCAATAGCTATTCACGAGAGGGTACTGAAAGTTTGGTGACGATCGGCGCAGTGGTTCTGGAGATATATCGAAAAAAAGACTAAAGGGGAGGGCAAAAAAATGTCCCCCACCCACCGTCTGGAGTGGAAGGCTAATGAATGGAAGGGGCTCCAGACTGGCCCCCTCATGCAGATTCCCCTCCCCCCACCCCTCATACCCATGCCGATGGAGCCCCTACCCAAAAATGGCATGACATATGTCTGATGACTCTTGTTTGCTGTCATTGACAGGCTGGATTCTGGTTGACCGTTGTGGCAAGCATTTTGGCACAGTGCTCAACTACCTGAGGGACGGCACTGTGACTTTGCCGGACACTGCCCGCGAGCTGGCCGAACTATACACGGAGGCCAAGTACTACTGCATACAGGAGCTCGGTACGTCAACAACACGCTCCAAAATAAACGTTACAGGACACATTATCCTGTAATAGTCTTTGATACAGTGTAGCATGCTAATTAGGTGTTTTAGAATCGCTTTGTTTCATTGAGTCTTATCAAATGAACTTGCTATTAACGCCTGGTTAGCCTGACAATATATTTTCAGATAAATGCCATGTTCTGAACACACAGGCTCAGGTTTGATATCAGTCAGACGTAGTCTGTGTTGTCATATTAAACCCGCGCCCCGTTAAGGTCTGGCAGCCCCCAGGTCCTGTTGGGGGGGGGGGGGCAAAGGCCCACGTATTCCCGGAACCAATAGTCAGATCAGAAAAATTTGGATAACATTCGAAAGATGTTATCGAGGCGCATGATGTCATGCTGTCTCTGGTCTTGCATTTGTGTTCTTCCATACGTCTTGCATTTGCTGCATACATACCTCAACCTATATTTTATATCAATATTGCCAGAACATAGGAATATGAATATTGCTTAAAGGGACCCTCCCACCTTCAAAAAAGTTTATGAATTGGCATGAAAGTGATGTCGCTCGGTTCAGAAAGAGCGGAAACGAATATCTACCAAATTTCACCGAAAAATATTCACCGGTTTTCAAGATATTAGACTTTTACTTTTGTTTACTTTTTGGGATCTCCGCTGTTCCTAGCGACTTTATTTGGAAGCAATAGTTTGGCAGCTGAAAGTGCGGCACTTGTTGCGCGCAAAGCAGCATATACCACCGCGTGCTACAAAACGTTTTAGTCAAACATTTAAAAATCGTTAGATATCTGCGCTGACGTCACACATTCAGAGGGGTATTCCTATGCATTAGCCCCTCTGAATCAAAATGCTGCAATTTTGAAATTCAATATTTCCGATTTAAGGCATTTATCGATGTTGTGAGTGCCGAAACCGGTAATTGTGAGCCAGGGACCCCATTTTGGCTATCTCAACTCAAATCTAATGTTAAGGTGGGAGGGTCCCTTTAACGTTGTGTATCCCTATATTTAAGTGGGTGCTTATTCAGACAGAAGTATTTTATGACCTAGCAAGAAGTTGCCAAACACATTGATGCCTTGCAGAACAGTAGGTATGACATATTTCAGCGAAAAAGTCGTGAGGATGTCTTTTCCCCAATTTTGAGGATGCCATCCTTTTCATTAGGGGATGATTTTCCCGCACTATTGCCAATTTGGCCACACTGTCTTCGTCCATTCCCCAGTTCAGTTGGTTCCGTGACTTTCAAATTATAGCAGGCCCTTCCTCGGTCAAGCTTGATGGATCCACCGTCACATTGCGCGGTAACCCGCGCCCCACTGAGCCCCCCCCCCCCGTTTCATAGCCCTTCTCCCGTTTAAGCTTGTGTCAAAATATCAACTTCGTAGCTACCATAGGTCGGCCGGAAATGACGTCATGTTCGGCCGATTTCGACGCGAAACATTGAACCACGGCAATCGCTCCCAAGAGCTCAGTTTTTAAGCTAGATCCAATTTCTTTCCATGAAAGGACTCAGAATATACTCCTCTATCAAACTGCTATCTCGGATTTTTAAAATTTTGAAAATATATGATAAAATTCAAAATTTATATTTTTATATTTTTTACAAAAACTTTTTGACTTATCGAAGAAAAAACGGAATGTGTGATAGAACACATGCTTATGACTTACTGTAGCAAGTTTTAGCTAAATATCTTCAAAAATGGCCAAGTCATACGCATTATAGCAAACAATTCATAATTATAAATTTTTGAAATTAATTTTTCAGTACGTTTTCATCAATATAAATAGCACCATCGTGTTCCTGAGCTCCAACTTCATCCAATAGACACCTTTTTTGTTGAAAAATTTCAACTTAAAAATTTGACCTTTTTTGACCTGAAAGTGACCTGACCTAAGCTATTCAACTTAAACTGACCTCTAATGACACAAATGACATCAAATTCGAAATCTATGGCCTAAATGGACCATAAAACATGTGTCACGTGACCGACGCATGATATAATATTTCCGTGACCTGTGATGACCTGACTGTCGCCACGATATCCTCTGATTTACATGCACGGACGACACTTGTGTTTTGTGACTGGCTGAGGGGGATTAGGGGGTCGGAAATTGGGACAGGATCGGTGAGAAGGGCGACAGTCGCTGCCTGATCAAGGCTCCTCAGTGGCGAGGGCGCTGTGAGCAGACGGATCTACCGATACTTCGACGCCTCGATAGCGAGGTTGGCCGAAGCCGACTGGCCGCACCCCTTGTATGGAAAGAGGCCCCTTTCCCCGGTCTCGATGGCGAAACACGGGAAAAGAGTTAAGCCCTCGGTTTTCGCTGGCGACACACCGGTGGCCGCCCCCTCGCACACCCCAACGAGGTGAGAAGAGCCGAGGTCCCCGGAAGTAGGACGGGACGGGTCACAGTCCACGCGTTTGTGGCCTGCCGTCAGTCCTCGCACTTCCGTCACTTCCGTCTCTCACTTCTCTCACAGCCACTGAGTTCAACCACTGGTTATTTATTGTCACTTCTCACAATTCACTCCAGAATCCAGCTTCACTCCCCACGGCCACCCCCACCAGACCGGGTTACACGCACACACAGACTAAACCCGCCTACGCCTCACCCGCCCGAGATCAGCTTGCTGTTTGTCGCTCTCTCTCTCTCTCTCTCTCTCTCTCTCTCTCTCTCTCTCTCTCTCTCTCTCTCTCTCTCTCTCTCTCTCTCTCTCTCTCTCTCTCTCTCTCTCTCTCTCTCTCACTCACTCACTCACTCACTCACTCACTCACTCACTCACTCACTCACTCACTCACTCACTCACTCACTCACTCACTCACTCACTCACTCACTCACTCACTCACTCACTCACTCACTCACTCACTCACTCACTCACTCACTCATTTACTCACGAGTAGGTATATCAATACATAGCGGAGGAAGACGGTACGGGGTGACCTAGAATAAACGCCGGTAGGCGCTACGGAGTGACCTAGTCCTCAATATAATCTGAATAAAATGACAAAATAGCAAAAATTCGGGTATAATCGATCACATATCTTTGTCAGCCGATCTTGGATATACCCGAATTTTTTGCTATTTTGTCATTTTATTCAGATTATATTGAGTATTCGGTCAATTCAATATGCTCATAACCTGTACTTCGATAACAATGCAATACTAAGCATCGCCGGACCGAAGGTTTGAAAGAAAGGAAAAAGAACTTATAAATTAAAGTATGTAAATATATACAAAGAAACGTCCGCACGCACGCCGGCAACATTGACAACACAAACGCCGCGGAAAAAAACAACAATGAAAAACGCCCGCCTTGTCTCCGCACGCCCGTAAACAACCTGTTCTTCGATTATGGAATATTTAGTTCTTAATTACGCATTGTTATGCTTTTTCCTTCTTCTGAAAACCCCTTACCGGGCACCGAATGCAATAAGTCGACTGAAGTGGGTTCTGGCCGGGCTCTGCGCGCGCTGCCTGTCGGTCACTGGGTGTCCCGTGCCGCCCTCTGCTGCAGGCGAGGCGTGCGACAGCGCACTGAAGAAGCTCACCGACCGAGACGTGCAGCCCATCTGTCGGATCCCGCTCATCACCAGCTCGCGCGAGGAGCACCAGCTCATCAGCCAGAGCACCAAGCCCGTGGTCAAGCTGCTCATCAACCGGCACAACAACAAGTACTCGTACACCAGGTGGGTGCGGTGCGCGGTCCGCCGCCCAGCGCCGCGGCTGGCCGCTGCAGAGGCGGGTTGGACCTACACTCGACTCCAGACAGCGATCGGCGGTCGGCAGTAGCGAACGCCTGTTGAACCGCTCTGCGCGTGACTTGCCGTCGCCGCGTCACGGACCTGCACTCCGTCTGACCGGCCCTCAGCCCTGTGTCCCGCCGCGCCCCTTTGACCGACCGGCCCCGTGTCCCGCCGCGCCCGCCGCGCGCCTTTGACCGGTCCCGTGTCCCGCCGCGCCCCTTTGACCGGCCCCATGTCCCGCCGCGCCCGCCGCGCCCCTTTGACCGACCGGCCCCGTGTCCCGCCGCGCCCCTCTGACCGACCGGCCCCGTGTCCCGCCGCGCCTGCCGCGCGCCTTTGACCGGTCCCGTGTCCCGCCGCGCCCCTTTGACCGGCCCCATGTCCCGCCGCGCCCGCCGCGCCCCTTTGACCGGCCCCGTGTCCCGCCGCGCCCCTTTGACCGGCCCCGTGTCCTACAGCGCGTCCGACGACAACATGCTGAAGAACCTGGAGATGTTCGACAAGCTGAGCCTTCGCTTCAGCCATCGCGTGCTCTTCATCAAGGACGTGACGGCCACCAACGAGATCTGCATGTGGACCTTCTACGGCCGCGGTCAGAAGGTGGCCGAGGTCTGCTGCACCTCCATCGTGTACGCCACCGACAAGAAGCACACCAAGGTATGGAGCGGAGCGACAGTCCTCACAGTCGCCGTGCACTGGCCCTCATTTACTGGTCCTCACAGTCCTCATTGACTGGTCGTCCAGTGCCTATGTCATCAGCCGGACAGTTATTGGCCGTCTATTGTAGCTTTAGATCAGGTGCTTCAGTTAAATATCTGCCACCCGTGCTCGTGCTGCACTATGCGAAGCTGACAGCCCCCCCGACCGGCGACAGAGCTGTCCATTGCTGTCGAGCTATACAGGGTGTCCGGAAATTATCTGCCCCTCCATCAAATCGCCGCCATAATAAATAAACAAAGAGCCCCCGGGTCATGGTTTTACCCCCGGGTCATTTACCGATTTATCTCCTGTCCTGCCCTACCCATTCCCTCATCCGCTTTGGCATTCCATAGATCAAGATGTCCAGCGTATCCGCGCTGATGTTCAGCCACACCTTTCACAGGTTATGATGTTATGCCACACCTTTCTAAAGTCCGTTTTCTATGGGAGCTGGTTCAATCTTGCTGAACTCCTCCTTCATGATTCCCCATAGGTTTTCGACTGGGATTAGGATAGAGGATTCGATTTGACTTTCTACTTCATTCCAGTCTTCACCATAACTTCAGGACGCTCTGTCAAAGAGTTCCTTTCGTCAAAGTAGATACCACGTTCAGGTGCGAGTTACGCCTATCAAACACTGGCCCCTGGCGCCTCGCAAGTGTCAAGCTCAGGTGACCGACTTAGGTCATGTGACTAACGGACAGCTGTGGATAGCCTGAGGCACGGTCTTAGCAAATTTTCAACAGTTCTTAAAGCGCACGGTGGGATTATAGCTGAATGATCAAGAGGCAAATAATTTCTGGACATCGTGTACGCTGGCGCCAGGTACCGCCCGCTAAGCGCACAGAGAAGAGAGTCGTTATGCTGGCTCCCAGACGGCCGGACTCACCAGGACTCGGCTAACCAGGCATTGTGGACTCGGCTCACCGGGACCGGTGGACTCGCCAGGACTCGGCTCACCGGGACCGGTGGACTCGCCAGGACTCGGCTCGGGCGCCCGCGAGCGCGACGAGTCAGTAGTAGGGTTGTGATTTATAGCAGCCCTATTACTCGCTCATCTGGCCCGCGGGCGGCCCCACTCAGCGAGACTGGCCCCTGCCCCACTCAGCGAGACTGGCCTCTGATACAGACGGCCCCACTCAGCGAGACTGGCCTCTGATACAGACGGCCCCACTCAGCGAGACTGGCCTCTGACACAGACGGTCCCATTCAGCGAGACTGGCCTCTGACACAGACGGCCCCACTCAGCGAGACTGGCCTCTGACACAGACGGCCCCACTCAGCGAGACTGGCCTCTGACACAGACGGCCCCACTCAGCGAGACTGGTCTCTGACACAGACGGTCCCACTCAGCGAGACTGACCTCTGACACAGACGGCCCCACTCAGCGAGACTGGCCTCTGATACAGACGGCCCCACTCAGCGAGACTGGCCTCTGATACAGACGGTCCGGGCGGCCATGGCTGCCGTGTATCCGGCAGGGTTGTACAGAGTGGAAAGCAATTACGAGAACATGTACTTTCTTACAATGCTGCCCGTCTGTGGATATTTGTATGAACGCCGGCTGTCATGGAACTGATTGGTCGTGTTTGTTGTCGCCTTATCTACCAAAAGTGATTTGACTTTGGACGATGACCTGAAAGGACGTCTCGATTTTGAATGGTACACACGTCGTACGCTGCGCAAGACCAAAATCGGCAAATACTAAAGAGCACGATATGGAGTTGCCAGAGAAAGCGTTGGAGATGGTTTTGGCTGGGCTGGAGCGGAAGGGAATGGCAACGGTCTCAGCAGCAGCAGCCATACTCAGACATGCATTTGGTTAAAGCATAATACGACTTGAGAGGATTTAACCCGCGCCGGGCCGGGGGGGGGGGGAGTTTAGACATCCCTATCGCGGTCTTTCGGAGATAAGTCGTTTTGAGCACACCTGTTCATGCATCTTTTCCGCACATGTTGTGAAAGTTTCAGACCCAGGTCGCTCAAGGTCAGGTCACCAGCTCACGTCAAGTAACATTACCTCAGAAAAGGTTAGAATGCTCGTCATAGCTACACCGACTGAACGATCGCCTTGAAAATTTCAGCGATTTATAAAAGTAACATATGTATGAAATGCGTCTCGGAATTTTGATATCGGTGACCTAGGGTCAGGTCAATTTTGCGCCTTCTCCATTATAAATCAATAAGAGAAAATTTAACGGCATCTCTTTTGGACCAACGCCATTCTAGACATTCTCAAACATGGTGATTCATGTAAACATAACACCTAATAGCCAATAGGAAAATAGCGCCCGTCACTCCTCCTTATGTTCCCGAGGTCATATCTGACCATAAAATGTCCCAAATACTTTGTTTGGCAATAGTTTTTGACAAACAGATGCTAGAGCGATGAAAATACCTTAAATTTGTTCAGGTCGACGATACGGATCGACTGATATGCGACATTAACATTTCCAGTCAGGTCATGACTTTGATGTTAGGTTAAGTTTTGAAAATGCTCATTTTTAGATTACAGCTCATTCGACGCGTCTTGACGGGGGAAACACGATGCGGGCAAAATCAATGTTGTGTTTTTCCTGAGTCAATAGTATTACATTTTTTTTTTGTAAAAATTGTTATTTTTCCAGCTTTAACCCTCTGGAGGCTAAACCGTTGGTCCTAGGTCAAATGGTCACATCTAAAGAACTTGATCAGAAAGCCCTAAAAGGGCTATCGAATGCGCTTTTCCGTGGCGTCTTAGCTCTATCAGTTCCCGAGTTACGCGCCGGTTTTTTTTTATGAAAAACGTTTAAATAGGTAACATTTTACCTTTAATGACCTCTGGTGACCGTACCTTTGACCCGCCGTAAAAAATGACCGAAGAATGATTTTTGACGCTCGATTTCGATTGCCGCTTGTTTACCGCATGTCGCTATACGTGGCCCAGGAGCGAAGTTAGACGGGGTGTTCCACCCTCCCGGGCCCGGCGCGGTTCGCTTCGAGCACCGGCCCGGCGCCGGTTAAAAAGCTGCCTCTGTCTGCCGCAGCAAACCCTCGGCGAACAGGGTTCACCGGGACCGGGTCACCGACTGGCTGGGCGCCAAGTCGGTGACAAAACGGCGGCAGTCGACCCAAAACCAGCTAAATGGCTTACTGCGGCCGGGTACCCGATGTAACATCTCACGAATCGCACATATATCAATTCAAATTCGAAAATTTAACTGTACATACCCTCGATATGACCAACATTCACGAAATAGCAGTAGGATTGTCGCATGAAGTTTTCCAAAGAGCGCCAAACCTGGACAGAGGAGGACCGGCAGCTGGTGTTGTGGTTGGGTGAGACATCTTTTGTGCTGTTTCTTCCGTCAAAACGGCATAACAACTGCGTGGAGGCTGCTGATGCATCCGATGTCCCGCCCGTCTCAGCCGTCCACCATCCGGCAAAGGTGCACACCAAGGGCTTATGAGCGCCCGACTGCTGAGTCAATAAAATTGTACATAGCGCGACAAAAGGTAACCAAAAATAAAGGGTGCAACCAGTGGAACATCATTCCAGACGAGTCTCTCTAGTCTCTAGTCTAGTCCACCGATGGGAAAAACCGGCCAGATGATTAATGCCATTTTTGTGCCCGACGCAAAGAAAATCTTCTTCATGATTGCTGAAGTCCTTCCTCACACCGCCAAAAGATGAAAGACTGGTGCTGTGGGAACCTGTCCTTCTGAGCATACAATGTCGTATCTGGGAATAGCCCAGAGCTTAATTCGATCAAAAATATAGGGATGATTCGTCAGGATAACGTCAGAGATCTGCTAGGAGCCACCAGCACCGATTGCCTCACCAGACAGCTCGAGAAGGCGTGGGCTAAGCTTTCATCAGCATTGCTTCAGATCCTGATGTCAATTGTGCTGGAACACTTAATCAGTGTATCGCACACAGATGAGGCATAGGCGGCGAAACAGGGGGAGGGGGGGGGGGGCACCGGGACACCGTGCCACCGTGCCCCCCTTTGATTTTGGCAATTTAACCCTCGCACGACCAGGCCATTTCTCATAACACGAACGACCAGGGGGGGGGGTTGTTACGACCCCCCCCCCTGGCGTTTCGAAACGGAAGGTCGTAGAGCTTAGCGGAAAAAACCAACGGATTGCTCTCAACGAGATCTCGCGATTGGTGGTATATTTTTTTGGTCCTAGGTCAACATTTGACCTACTTTTGACCGGTCAAAGGTCAAATTTTCGGAAAAATAGACTTTTCAACTTTCCGCGGCGATTGCGGCAAAACGGTGAGAGATATCGACTTGAAACCTTCACTATCGTGTTCCTTGATCAATTCTCTATCGTTTGGTATGTATTTCGTTTCCCTAGCTCTAAAAATGGCGCGTTGGGAGCGCCGGAAGTCGGCAAGGTCACAGTCGGCGGCAGAAATTCGAAAAATCAAAATTTAAATTTTTGAAATCTGATTGTGTTTTCGGATTTGGGAGGTCCATTTGCTCCCTATAGAAGCTAATATTGCTGCATATTCCCATTGAGGTGACAAGAATTAGCAAAAATAGTGGTTCGGGCGCTTTTCAAAAATAGTACCGGATGCTGTTCCTCTTATGACGTCATAACTCCGTGACCTGACCTGACCCGGTCAATTTTCTTGCACCACACGATAGCCAATGCTTGCCCCAACATGCATGGGAAGTTTCATCATGATCCATCAAACAATGTGGGTATCACCGGCAGAAAACCTAGGGATTCGGCGCACACGTTTGGTAACTGTCGGCCGGAGGCTGTACCTCTTATGACGTCATAACTCCGTGACCTGACATGACCCGATCAATTTTTTTCGGCAGAAGATGCGCAAAGGTTGCCCCAGAGGGTATTGAAAATTTCAGCCCGCTACGACAAGCCGTTTAGCGTGCACTTCGAAAAAACCTCAGGGGGGGGTGATACAACCCCCCCCCCCCCTAGGCGTTCTAGGGTTAACATTAGCCCTATGGGCGTTGCATGGAAAGAATGGGACCAAAAATCGGCAGTGCCCTCCCCCCCCTCCCTTGAAGGTGTTCCGCCGCCACTGAGATGAGGATATAGTAGACGATGAAGTCGTCATGTCACCATCGTTTTTTTTTTTATTGTTACGAGAACAGTGTATTCGCGTAATTTCTTTCCACACTTTGTACGACTATACAAGTCAAATCATGAGTCGATTTGAGAATCATTCATTTTACTTTGAGTCATGAGTCGGATCGAATCAAATGCTTTGAAAGCTGAATGAGTCATAAGTCGATTTGATTCACATAGGGGAGAACGGGGCACAGTGGCCACCCGGGGCACAGCGGCCACCCCGTATTTGAAGCTTTCAGTTTCACAACTGGTGTCAACACCAGTTATTGGTTGCCAATTATAGTTCGCTTCATGGTCGTTCGGATAAGCTGTGGTTTCCGGCCCATCGCCACTGTTCTGTGATACACGGAAAAGTAGGTATTTCTTCCCTGGTGTCGTTCTATTTTTACTATTTTTAAATGTTATTTTATTCCACAACCGTGTGGAATTTTATTTAAGCGATCTCGTTCATGCATTGTTTGGTTATCGTACCTATCATCTTCTACCAATTTTAATGCTTTTTGCCCCCTCTAATAGCTGAGCTTAAATATTTTTGTCTCGGACGGTATGCGCGGGCCAAAGTGGACGGGGCAAAGTGGCCAGCCCACAGTTGGCCATAAGTTGTTTCCATCTGGACATAAAACGTTATTAATATTTAAATCTATCGTCATGCGTTTATTTCGGCAATTTTTCGGTTACATCAGTTAAAAAAAATGCACTGTTTTTTTCTAATATGCCCTTGCATTGTTTAACTAAGATGGGAAGATGACAAAATAAACATCCATCCTCGTTTAAATCAAGCTTCAACAAGTCTAGTCGTGTATGAGGCAACTATCCTATTGCTCATGTCGGGGCAAATAAATCGCTGGTGTCCACTTTGCCCCGCGGGGTGGAGCAAAGTGGCCAAAATGCATAGGTGTAAAGTATTGCCAATATCTCCTAATGTGAACGCCTTTAGAAATAAAAAGAAGTTAAAATGAAAGGCAATTTAATGAAGAATCTTCCCAAGTTTGAAAATGAAGCGTCGGCTTAGAAACAGACATTAGGGTGGCCGCTTTGTCCCGGTCTCCCCTATGTAGGGTAGCCTGGGGCAAGACGCCCCAGATAATTTATTTTGCTACATAACTTTTGTCCCACATTACCTGGAGGGCCAAATTTGTGCTCAATGCGTTCTTTGGACATTTTACTTTAAATTCCACCCCTCAAATTCATTCACTTATGATCGGACTCCCAGCTAGGAATTGATTTGTGAAGCAACTGCAAATGGGGCATTTTGCCCCAACCCCAGGGCAAAACGCCCCACGGCCTGGGGCAAGAAGCCCCATACTCTAGATTAATGATTAAACATGCTAGTTGACTAAATCCTATATCAGAGGTCCGTTAGACCTCGGGAGGCACGGCACTGACGTTAACAGCTTCCATCCTATCAGGAGTTCAGCTATGACACTATTGTATGAACAGGTTTTTCACCTGCCTCATAAGGCAAATTAAGAAATTATTGCAACGCAAATGTTAACAAAAACTTCCTTTGCCATTCCGTTGCTGAGAAAAGTACATATAAATGCACAGAAACTTACTGTCCGCCAGCTACCGAACATTAGGAAGTGGGTAGTCCGAACAACACATGAGGTAAAACGCCCCATGGGGCTTTTTGCCCCGCGACCTACTGGGGCGTTTTACCCCATCACGTAGTTCGGTCAGAGAACAACGCATTGCACTCCAGCAAGACATAATTTAACACGAACCAACCCGGCATTCTAAGCGTTAGACAATAGTTGTTCAAAATACATAAAAGTTGTTAACCTGATGTGGACTGTAAAAGAACGCCATGATGCATAATTTGACAACAAAACATAAAAATCACTCCAAAAACACATTTTTGGCTATATCTCCGTAAAGAGTCATCACAATTTCTTTCCAGTCTGCTCATATAATGATCATATAGTGCACGTTTTATAGAAGAGAGGATGTTTCCCCAGAACCTTGTCAGTTCCGAGAAACATCGGTGAGGCGTTTTACCTCGGCGGGGCGACTTGCCCCGGTCTACCCTACACGTATAAGCAGTTTGAGTCCAAGGTTAAATCGACTCAAGAAAACTCCATTCATGTGTTGAATCGATTGGAGCTACCTTGTCATGTGAACCCAATGACCCTTCTGACCCAGTGACCCGACACTGTGACACTGACCCGTCTGACACTGTGGCACTGTGGCCCGTCTGACACTGTGACACTGCGACCCGTCTGACACTGTGACACTGCGACCCGTCTGACACTGTGACACTGCGACCCGTCTGACACTGTGACCCGTCTGACCCAGTGACACTGACCCGTCTGACACTGTGACACTGCGACCCTTCTGACCCAGTGACCCGTCTGACACTGCGACCCGTCTGACCGTGCGCGCGCAGGTGGAGTGCCACGAGGCGCGCATCTACGAGGAGACGCTGAACATTATGCTGTACGAGGCGTGCGACTCGCCGGACGCCGAGCTGATGCAGGCCACCGCGCGCCGGCCGGCAGCCGCCTTCGGCTGCACCAGCGACGACGACGAGCCGGCGGCCGCCGCCGCCGCCGCCGGCGCGCGCTCCAAGCACGGACTGGACCGGCTGCGCTCCAACAAGCAGGCGGCGCACGCGCACGCGGTGCCGCCGCCGCCGGCGCCGCCGCTGTGAGCGGCCGAGTGGCGGCAGTGGAGCGAGTGGCGGCGCGGCGCGCAGCCGAGCCGACCCCTGTCAGCCGATCCTTCGGCACGAGTCCGCCCACTCGGTGACTGCCGAGAGACGCACGGCACCCATACTTCAGCCGAGCGCCACGGCTGCGGCTCAGCGTACTTGTAGAATTTGTGGATATGCTTTGCCTGTATCGTTACGTATATACTGTGTCAAACATATATTTTCATCGCCATGTTGCAGTTATTGGCGGAGCAATTTGATATCCGAATGCATCATGCAATTATGAATGGTAGAGCGGGTTGTTTTGAAGCCAGTTTGTATGCCTCTTCTTGTCCATAAACGCGTCTATTGTAATCTCATTTTGTAAGCCGAGCGTTGTGCATCATAGCGCTGTCTCCACCTGCGTGCTGTTGTGCCGCCGCGGACCGGTCGGCGCCGCTCGGCCGCTGCGCCCGAGCTCCGCTATAGGCGCCCGCGCTGGTGCGCGTGTCTGAGCCGGCTCGGTCCAGTGTCGGGGCCGGCTCGGTCCAGTGCCGGGGCCGGCTCGGTCCAGTGTCTGGGCCGGCTCGGTCCAGTGTCGGGGCCGGCTCGGTCCAGTGTCTGGGCCGGCTCGGTCCAGTGTCTGGGCCGGCTCGGTCCAGTCTCTGGGCCGGCTCGGTCCAGTGTCTGGGCCGGCTCGGTCCAGTGTCGGGGCCGGCTCGGTCCAGTGTCTGGGCCGGCTCGGTCCAGTGTCTGGGCCGGCTCGGTCCAGTGTCGGGGCCGGCTCGGTCCAGTCTCTGGGCCGGCTCGGTCCAGTGTCTGGGCCGGCACGGTCCAGTGTCGCGGCCGGCCGGCCCCAGGGAGCCAATGAGACAGAGGCTGTGACGGCGGGGCTCCCAGCGCCTCTGCCAACGCCCAACAGATTCATAATATATGCAGTGAGACACACTGGCCTGTTGCCTGCTCATCACATTTGGAAGGGCGCGGCAGCTCAGAGATTCAGCGCAGTGCGTCCAGCAAGAACGTCGTGTCGCTACCGCCGTGACGCTACAACAATGCGCCTTTTTGCGTTGTTCGATGGCCAATCGTTATAACCGTTTCGGCATCAGTTTGAACAAGCGTCATTCAGAGGACCCCTTCGGTCTGGCTGAAAAATGATAGATCTGACCTGCTGAGTACGATAAGCACAAAATGTAATCTCGGCAAGCCTTACTTACGGATATATGACGGGTCAAAGTTCAAGGTCATTGGTAGTGGACCTTTTCAAATTCCTTTAAAAAAAAATTAAATGCAGATAGGCATTGACCTCCTCAGTCTCTTGTCCATAAAACTTAGCTCGGCAAGCCCTCACTTCGGAGATCGGGCAGGTCAAATGTTGCAGCCACGTGGCGGTCACGTGACCCATTCGCAGCGGACCCCTCAGATTTTAATGAAATTCTGTGAGTTGATACATCTAGATGCACTGGTCATTATGCTTAACACGCGCAGTGGGAGGGTTTCGAGCACTACGCCCAGTGGAAGGGGGGGGGGGCGGATGTCGCCCCCCCCCTAAGATAGCTCCCACTGGGGCTAGAAAGACGAAATTTGGAGGGTAGGTGTGGGCCCTGGGGAGCTCTGTTGTGTGTGAATTTCATGACCCTAGGTCAATATCTTCAAGGTCAAATGAGGTCAAATGTAGTCAAATTTTGCCATATGAGCGACTTTTTTGCGTTTACACGCCGATAACTCAAAAAGTTACCGGCCGATTTTCTTTTTTCTTTCACTTTACGAAAGAACATATATTTTGAGAATGTATGGTGAATTTTTAATTAATTCAACAACAAATATGGCAGTTAGAAGCCTGCTAGGGGTAAGATGTCGCCGACTGAAGCCGGATCGGCCGACGCGGGAAACGCGGCAATCACAATTTTGTGTTTACACACTCATAGCTCAAGTTATCGGTCGATTTTCAAAATTCTTTGATCATATGATTGCCTGTACATTTCTCAGCCTTCTCACAAAATCTGACACATGGGTGAAACTTTGACATCACCATTGGGGTCCCAAACGTCCAAGGGGGCCTCCATTTAGTGGGGGCCTCCAAGCAATTAGGGGCCTCCAATTGCGGAAGCGGTAATTTACGAGCCACGCCAGGGCCTCCTCTAAGAAATTTTCATTGGGGGACCAGAGGCTCAGAAGCCAAACATGGGGTACCCCCAAATCCAGTTTTCTCATCGGATTTAGGCCACTTATTTTTCGTCACAGCTCTGATGCCATGATTTTTTTTTTAATATCGATAAAGAAATGGTAGGTCACCTGACCCTACTGGTGGATCCAGGCCAGCAGGGTGACATTGTATGTAAATATCCCCCGCGGCATCCGAAATCGACGAAAATTTCTGGCTTTTTCACTTTTGACATTAAAACACAATGCCTTTATAATAGAAAAAAAATTAACGGCACAGCATTGCGCAAGGAATCTAGCCGTAAGCCGACCCCAGAAAGTGTGAGGGTTAACCTTCGCCGGCACCTGGGGGGAGGGTCGCCACCCCCAAGTTAGTTTTTCTGCTCTACACTTAACATTTTTAAAGCTAGAAACCTGATTTTCTTTGTATAGCTGCTTTTCTATCTTTTCTCAGCGTCCATTGAAAATTTCAAGCTTCTGCGGCATTTGGGTTTGGAGATATGACCTTGTTCTTCAGGTCATGTCATGTCCTAAATGACGAATACCCAATATCTTGCGATGGCTATGGGCCTTGTGAGCTTTTGACACGCTGATTTCGGCTTTTTTTTTGCCAGTCTTACCTCCCACCTATCATTGAACATGTTGTTCTGCGATGTACAGATGTCAGAGTCAGGGTCAAGGTCAACCTAGGTCATCTAAAATTATTGCGCTTCAGGAATTTACTTTTCGTGAAGTTTCTTTGACTGTATGTTTAGTAAAAGCTTCTCACTTCATGATCAAGTGTAATAGGGACACACAAACCGATCTGTGCACACATCAGTACATACACAGACATACACAGACATACAAACACATATCATTGACCTTGACCTAACTTGACGTGAAATGACCACAGCCAGCAAATTAGTCGGATAGTGTGACAAAGAGCTGTTCTAGCTCGCTTGGCACTAATACGGCAGCGTCATCGGTATATGATGGGTTGGCCCGCTCCTTGTGTAGGTATCTTATTCGACATCACCACAATTTTTTCTTACAAGATTTTAAGCCTTGCGGTCAAGAGCAACAGATTCTTTGGGAAGTGACGAATCCAATGATACCAATTTTACCTCATCAGGTCAGTCATTGACCTTCCAGGTCAGGTCAAACTAAAGAATGTTGCTGTTTGGGGTCACCGTTGCCCGTTGGAATATCACGTGCGCTGCTCATCATGTACCGATGACGCTGCCGTATTGTGGTGCCAAGCCAGCTAGAACCTCTTTGTCACACTATCCGACTAGGTTTTTGCTGGCTGTGGTCATTTCAGGTCAAGTTAGCTCAAGGTCAATGACATGTGTTTGTATGTCTGTGTGTGTCTGTGTGTACGAGTATACTGATGTGTGCACCGACTGTGAATGTGTCCATATTACATGAGATCATGAACTGAGAAGCTTTTGCCAAAAATACAGTCAAAGAAACTTCACGAAAGTAAATTCAGCTTGCCTAAAACGCAATATTTTTAGACGACCTAGGTTGACCTTGACCCTGACCCTGGCATCTCTACATCATTGAACAACATGTTCCATGATAGGTGGGAGGTAAGACTGACAAAAAAGGCCGAAATCAAGGTGTCAAAAGCTCACAAGACCCAACGCCAACGCAAGATATTGGGTATTTGTCATTTGGGTTATGACATTACCTGAAGAATAAGGTCATATCTCCGAAACCAAAAACCACAGAAACTTGAAATTTTCAGTGGACGCTAAAAAAGGATAGAGCAGCAGCTATACGAAATATCCGACTTCTAGCAATCAAAATGTTTAGTGCAGAGCAGAAAAAACTACCTAGGTCGGGGTGGGGGGTGTGGCAACCACTGCCCCCCCCCCCCCCCCATGTGCGGACGAGGATTACCTAAGTAATTTGAATATCAGGAAAATAATTTATTAAATCAGGTATTCCAACAGAGTCCCGCTTTTTTATAGGTGACCTCCGATTTGTGTTGCATCTAAGTTACCCAGGGGGCCTCTTATTTGTAATTGTAGGTACAGTACAGAGAGCCTCCTACTTCGACTACTTGCACAGAGAGCCTCCTAGCGTACATACGGCTAAGCTTCTACAGGTCGAGCGCCGGTCTCTTGTACGTACAGAGAGCCTCCTACTGTTACAGAGGGCCTCCTGTTTGTCTAGGGGGCCTCCTATTGGTTAACGGCGCCTCCTATTTGTCCAAGCGGCCTCCTATTCGTCTATGGGACCTCCTATTTGTCCAGGAGGCCTCCTGTTTCTCCAGAAGGTCCCCTATTTATCCAGGGGGCTTCTATTTTCCAGGGGGCCTCCTCTTTATCTAGGGGGCCTCCTACGTGTTCAGGGGCCTCCTATTTGTCCAGGGGCCTCCTATTTATCCAGGGGTCTTTTATTCGACTAGGAGTCTCATATTTGTGCAGGGGCCTCCTATTTGTCCAAGGGTCTCCTACTTGTCCCGGGGCCTCCTTTTTTTTGAAGGGACTCCTTTTTGTTAAGGGAGCCTTCTATTTGTCCAGGGGGCCTCCTATTCGAACAGAGAGCCTCTAGCTCCTACTTGTCCATGGAGCCTCCTATTTGTTCAAGAGGTCCCCTATTTGTCCAGGGGGCCTCCTATTTGTCCAAGGGACCTGTTATTTTTCTAGGGGGCCTCTTTGCCCAAGAGGCCTCCTATTTGTCCAGCGTGCCTCCTACATGTTCAGGGGGACTCCTATTTGTCCAAGGGGCCTCCTATTGGTTAAAGTAGCCTCTTATTTTCCAAGCGGCCTCCTATTTATCCAGAGGGCTCCTATTTTTAGGGGGCTTCCTCTTTATCCAGGGGGCCTCCTTGTTCAGGGGGCCTCTTAATTGTCCAGGGGCCTCCTTTTGTGAAAGGGGCCTCCTATTTGTCCAGGGGGCCTCCTTTTGTGAAAGGGGCCTCCTTTTTGTCTAGGTCTAGGACCTTCTATTTGTCCAGGGGGCCTCCTATTTTTGCAGGGGCCTCCTATTTGTACAGAGGGCCTCCTACTTGTCCATGGGGCCTCCTATTTGTCCAGGGGCCTCCTTTTGTGAAAGGGGCCTCCTGTTTGTCTAGGTCTAGGACCTCCTATTTGTCCAGGGGGCCTCCTATTTTTGCAGGGGGGCCTCCTATTTGTACAGAGGGCCTCCTACTTGTCCATGGGGCTTACTATTTGTCTAGGGGCCTCTTATTTGTCTAGGGCCTCCTATTTGTCCAGGAGGCCTCCTACTTGTCCAGAGAGCCTCCTATTTCTCCAGGGGACTTCCTGTTTTCCGGGGGCCTCCTACTTGTTCAGGGGGCCTCCTACTTGTTCAGGGGGCCTCCTACTTGTTCAGGGGGCCTCCTATTTGTCCAACAGGGCCTCCGATTTATCCAAGGGGCCTCCTATTTAAACAGAGAACCTTTTATATGAATATCGGACCTCCGTTTGCAAAGAAGCTGATGCGTCTCGGGGGCCTCCACTATTGGGGTCCCAAAATGACAATTGGGGTCCCAAATGTTCGCATTGGGGTCCCACATGGGACCTCGAAAGTATACAAAGTTACACCCATGATCTGACACGAATCGAATATAATCAGTGGTAAGGAGCGCGATGTAAAGACGGAACCGTCCCGCCCCGGCGCAGTCTACAATTCAGGCGGCGCGTAACGGCTAGCGCCGCGGGCCGCCGCGCGCCGCGCCGCACTGCCGCGGCGGCGAGATGTTTGACTTTACACCGCTATTTCTAGAAAAGTTGTGAACTTATTTTCTTATTTCTTGCACGAGAAGATCCGCAATTCAGTTCTGGACAG